TACACAATGGAGGAGCTCCTCTACGTAATCCAAAACAGGAAAAAGGGCACAGCCCCAGGATTAGACCTTACTTCTTACCAAATAATTAAAAAACTCCCCCTAAAACTACTCCAGGCACTACTCAAACTATACAATCTCATCTACCTAAACGGACAGGTTCCTACTCCCTGGAAACAGGCCCTAGTCGTACCAATCCCTAAACCTAATAAACCAGCTAATCAAGCTAACTCATATAGACCAATATCCCTAACTTCAAACTTATGTAAAGTAATGGAATCAATGGCTAAAAATAGATTACAACATTACTTAACCCAAAATAACATCATAAACCCAGATGAAAGCGGTTTCACTCCTGGCTGCTCAACCCTAGATAACCTCGCCCGACTAGAACAAGATATTAAGACAGGACAACTAAATAAACAATATACCACAGGCATCTTCTTAGACTTCTCTAAAGCTTTCGACATGGTATGGCACGATGGGCTAATACAAAAACTTAAAAAAATAGGACTCAAAGGTCAGATAATAAACTACATCCAGGACTTCCTAAACAATCGTAAAATAACCGTGGGTATAGACCAAACTCTATCGGACCAATGTCCCCTAGAAAATGGCACTCCACTGGGCAGTATCCTCAGCCCCACCCTCTTCAATATAATGATAAACGATCTATTCGAGGGCCTATCCCCTAAAGTAAACACATCAAAATTCGCGGATGATGGATCCGCACTAAAAGCATGAAAATGGTCCAAAATTTACTCCAAATATCTCTTAATGAAATACAACAATGGGCTGACAAATGGGGCTTCTCCCTTAACTCAGAAAAAACAACAGGAATAGTATTCAAACATAAAAACATGAAACCCGCCTCCCCAATCCTCCAGCTAAACAATCAAACAATCAAATTTCAAAAACAAACCAAATTCTTAGGACTTATTTTCGATGAACATCTCACCTGGGATGCTCACATCCAAAACCTAACAACTAAATGCAGTAAAGACCTAAACACCCTAAGATGCCTAACTGGCTCTAACTGGGGAGCCTCCAAAGATACCCTCCTCTCTCTCTACATATCACTAATTAGATCAAAACTAGACTACGGCTGCGCCATATACAACACCCTAAACAACTCTCTATCTAAAAAACTTGACTCAATACAATATCAGGCTCTCAAACTAATTACACGCACCCAACATGGCACCTCCTACACCTCACTTCAGGCCTTAACAGGAGAAATGCCACTCAGTCTACGCAGGGAACAGCTAAGCTTAAATTTCTGGGCCGCGTCCCAATCAAACCCTCTCATCCAAAACTTAATAAACCAAAACATCAGCCCCAAAAACCAAGTTCTAGCTCGTAAACACCCCTTACTTACCCCAATATCCCAAAGAATAACAAACTACCTGAATGAACACCAAATTAAAAATCTTAAACAAAACCGCAAACAATCAAATATCTTCACCCCTAAACTTAAAATACCCAAAATAGACACAAAACTAGCTAGCCAAATAAATAAACAAACCGACCCAAACATAGCTAAAACTACCACACCAGCATACATACACGAAAATTGGCCAAATTGGTGTCACATTTACACGGACGGATCCTTAGATCCGACCTCCAAACACACAGGTTTCGGAGTCCATACCACACAACCAACTAAAACCACACAATCCTCCTGACTCCCAAACAACCAATCAATATTCACGGCAGAACTAATGGGCATGGCCTAAGCCCTCCATAATCAAGAATCCAAAAAACACAAAAAAATCCTAATACTTACCGACTCCCTAAGAGGACTGCAAGCCCTCCAAATCAAAAATACCAAAAACCGACCTAAATTAATATATCAAATACTTAAAAGCTCCAACGACCTATCTAAGGCAGGTAAACAAATAACCTTCTTGTGGATACCCGCCCACGTAGGAATATACGGTAATGAAAACGCCGATAAAGCAGCTAAACTATCCCTCAAAATCCCAGAAATAAGCTTAAACTTACCCATCTCAAAATCAGAAATTAAAAGTGTAAACAAGCAAAAAATCACACAAAAATGGCACAACCTATATCTAAACTCAAATAGCCAAATCAAAAAAGTGCTCAGCAAACCACTAACCAAACCAAAAATTCTCCATCCATCAAAAAAAATCGACAGAGTAATCACTAAACTCCAAACAGGACACACCAACCTAAATAACCACCTAAAAAAACTAAAAAAACACACTACAGGTAACTGCCCACACTGCAAACAACCAGAAACCCCAGAACACACACTCATCCACTGCACACACTACCTAACACATCGAACCGCATCAATCTAAACAAGGCTCTCACTCTAGAAGCAATACTAAACCCACAAAATAAACTAGAAAACTTCAAGGCCTTAGGCGTATTCTTAATAAAAACGGAACTAATAAAACGCATCTAAAAACACAATAACCTACCAAATCAAAATCACATAAACAAACAAACATCCACCATACCCAGCTCCCTTAGTTCTCCTCCCCAACCCCATCGGCATCTATTCCAAATCTCAAAATTCCCAAATTCTATATAAGCAACCCCTAAACCCCCCTTTTGGGTTGCACAGACCACTTTCGCCCCTTTCGGAAACACATTAAATGGCCTGGCCGGGCCCGTGTGCGAAATACGCATCAGTCGGAAAGCGCACGTTAAATCTCCAAAGTAAGTAAGTAAGTAAGTTGAGCCTCAGTCTGAAAGTGGCACATCTTCAAAGAGCTGAGCTGAGCGATGTCTATCCAGCAAGTTCCATCAGAGGATGTTTTTTCCACTACGCCCAGGCTCTGTGGAGACAAGTTGTGGACAGAGGCCTGGCCCGAGACTACACCGACAACCCAGCAGTGCAGACCCACATCAGAAGAGCTGCAGTGTTGCTGCTTGTCCCCCTAGCTGAAGTCCAAGATGCCTGGATTGAAGTGATGGAGCAAGGACCAGATGGGCAGCAGATCACCAGGTTCAACGACTACGTCACCAGCACATGGGTGGACTTCAATGCCAAGTTCCCTCTAGCCCTGTGGAATCAACACGAGAACACCGGTCCACGCTCCAACAACCATCTTGAAGGTTTCCACAATGGCCTGAAGAAGAGAATGCCGAGAGCCCATCCCAACATCTTCCAGTTTGTCAAAGAACTCAAGAAGATCGAGACAGCAGATAGACGGTCAAGAAGGCAGATTGGACTGGGTGGGGCCATGAGACCTCGTGCTCGTGTTGACAGAGACTGAGATGCAAGGATCGAGAGACTGAAGCAGCAGCTTGCTACTGGCAGAAGATCAGTGATCCAGTTTTATGGATGCAGTTGGTCATTTCATCAAATTACAGTAATTTTGCTAGTAATGATGTAGTGCTAATGTTATAAAACATGAAGATGATGGATATAAATGTACAGTGCTATATATATATGATATTTGATGTTGTGAAAACATTTGAGTTGTGAAGATGATCTCATATACAAAATGAAATTACAGTATCAAAAGTCATTTACATTCTTTGTTATCTTGTTGGAAGAGTTCATTTTACTTAAGGGATAAGGGTACAAGTGTGATGTGCACTCATCCATAGATTTGTTTTGTTAGTAGTGTAGGCGATATGAGGTGTAGGCCAGATGAGGACAGGCCCTCTCATCTTAACCAGCTTTTCAAACAAGCAATCGTCCTGTGAACCATCCATTGCGTTGGCTATCCAACACTTCAAAGAGCTTCGCTTCACCATGTCAACTGGTAGTTCCTCCCAAGCTGCCTTTACTCATTCAACATACAACTAGTAGTGGTCACGATGTCGACTGTCAGGGTCACGATGTCGACTGTCAGGGTCACGATGTCGACTGTCAGGGCCTCGATGTCGACTGTCAGGGTCACGATGTCAACTGTCAGGGTCACGATGTCAACTGTCAGGGTCACGATGTCGACTGTCAGGGCCACGATGTCGACTGTCAGGGCCCTGATGTCGACTGTCAAGGTCACGATGGCTACTGTCAGGGTCACGATGTCGACTGTCAGGGTCACGATGTCGACTGTCAGGGTGTTTTTAAATCATGCGTGGAATAGTGTGTGACATCACACCTTTAGTTCAATTTTCAAAACAATAGAGCTCTGGGTAGCAAAGCCGAAAACCCAAGGGCTGCGCAGAATAAACTTATGACATGTTTTTATTTGAGGCAAATGGAAGAGAAAGCGATTGGTGGTTCATGGACTGGTTAGATAGATAGAAAGATAATTCCACACTGAAAGGCCACAGGCCCATAGTACTAACCTATTTTTGAGAGTGGTTGCAAATATAATTACTAATTCATATTCTAATTAACACGACATGATAAATGAACTTATGAAAAGAAATATCAGTTGTTGATATAATAGCTATAATTTATTTTTTAGGGGGATGTACATAAAACGTCAGTTCTATATTTCTTAGTCATATTTTGGACAAAGTAACAGAAAATGAAACTCATCTTCAATCCCATTTAAATCACAGTACTCACAAGTTCTAAATTCCCTGGCTATGTTTCTATGTCTGCCTACTCCAACAATAAGTCTATATGAGAGTGTCCTCTAATTTATTATATATATACGGTGTCGTTTTCTTTTGACCTTCAGTAGCCATTTTTGCCAGATCAAATTGGCAACGTTTTCCTGAGGTGCCTTTTTAGGTGCAAGCACCAATGTTCATACAATTTGGGCCTTACTCTATGAAGTATCATACTCCAATGAACTCACACAAAGTGAAAGTCAATTTTTAAATAACAATTGTTGCACAGTACATTGTGACAAATTGTACGCCTATATAATTAAAGTATCTCATGATATAGGACACCACATAAGTCATCAGTTCCAGCATTACCTATGCAGTCATATCATATGAAGTGTGCACATGTGATCTGTTGATATATGTACTACACTACTTTCTTAGTACCGGTACTATTGGTTTATCAAACCAGTACACTGCTTGTAGCTGAAACTTATGTTTTCAATATAATGTTGCAGATGATGTCTCTTTCACTGTTGGTCTTTCCAAAGCAGATGAGTTGTGTCGCCACACAACATACAGGGACAAGAAACAGGCAGCCAAGTTGGAACAGTTACAAAAGCAGCGTTCAGAAAGAATAAAGATAACTGAGGTTTGTCGAGAGCTTGAAGCTTCAGTAATAATTAAAGTTAGGGCTTTAGGCTGAAACATGATTGAGTGCACTCAATCAACTGTTTGTCATTTTAATGTACCATAAAACACTTGAGATTCATCAATGGTAATTTCATACCAATAGCAGACACAATTCACATACAGTATTCTGTAAATCTTGAAATTAACGCAAGTGTGAATTAATTGTGAAAAATGCGAGTGGTCTTTGCTTGCATTAATTATCCACCGCCCAACAAAGTTGGCGGGGGATATAGAAACGGGCTCCGTCCGTCACGTTTCGTTTCGCATAACTCAGAAACCGTTCAATATGTTTTCATGAAACTTTGCAGGTTTGTCAGGTACATGCTGAACTGGTGCCTTTTGCTATTTAGAAATTTTAGAAATTTTTACTTTTTTACGTTTCCATGGCAACAAGATGGACTCTTGTTCCAAACTCTTCTTTTTTTACAATTTCCATGACAAGTTCCACCTCGGTTAAAAAAGGTTAGGGTTTGTTTAGATTTAATTATGTCATAAATTCTGCAACAAGGGGGGGGAATATAGCCACGTTAGTGGCAAACTATAGTTAAACTTTGCATTTATGTCTCCAAAATGACCATCCACAATAAGACACTGCACACTTTGGATAGCGGAAATACCAACTTGAATATAAACACAAACAACTGTGTGTGTGTGTGTGTGTGTGTGTGTGTGTGTGTGTGTGTGTGTGTGTGTGTGTGTGTATTCCACATCAGGGTTTATTGAGCAGCAGTTTTAACAAATATATATTTATGTCCAGAGGGGGCTCTGTTGCATCAGTATTTGTCACTATTCAAAGGTTGAAGCATCTTAAAATCACCAAATTACTAATGTACTCTTTTTTTCTAAATACAGAGAGAATATAAAAAAGATATTTTATTTATTCCATGAGGTCAGGGGTCAAGGTTGGCTGGTCAAAATCGAAAACAGCCAAAGCTTCATCCATCGAGGCAAGGCCTAGGGACCTATAGCACGCAGTAGATGCTAGAAAACTGCTTTTTGCCTGTTAAAAAAGGATATAATTTTTCACAGACTGTTGTTATTGAAATATCAAGTAACTACCGATAGACCTACCTGTAGTTTGAAGTTTTTCAGTCACAAAGAGTCCTATCAACAAGTTTACAGGAGACAAATTCGAACGAAAACAGGAAGTACTATAGAAATATGCACACGTGACTCCGTTATAATGAAAATAATGTAGTCTTCATAAAACATCTAATCCACACACAAAAATCATTTTGAGAAAATTCTTCTAAAATGACAAAATGATGCTGTGTTTGTTTTGTTAACATTGCTCCCATGATGCATGTAACATTACACTTGCATAGCCATAACCATGGTACATGATATGGAGTCTGTACTGGGAAATGCATACAAGTTCTTTACACTTTAGAGAATTAGAGGGAAACCATTTATTAATTTAGACAGGGTGAATTACCGAACTGCCCAAGCTATGGGGTTTTCAATTCATGCCATCAAGTCTACGGTATGATAAATAAAACAAAACAGGTATAGGGGCGGTCTCAAAAACAAAACTGGGACGTAAAAGGATATTAGACAGCTTTGATACAGGGTGATTAGGCATATTAGGGCTGCAATGATACAGGAAGGTCACGATACGATACGCATCTCGATATTCTGGTCACGATACGATATGATAAAAAAAAAAACAAGACTTGAAGCATGTCAAGATTGAACCTTTCATGATTTTGTAACAGTCAAAATTATTTTATAATAACAAGACTACTGAAGTTGTTAAGCTTCAAAGTGGAACTTTCCCTAACTTTCCTCCAAAACAATTCAAAGTTCAAACACCAGAAAGAATTAATGTACTTCACCAGTGATACAACTTCAAAGAATTTTGATGCAATGGTCGAAGAAATTGTATCAGAAATTATTGTTTTATCAGGAATAATATATTCCAATATCATGTTACTTTAGTTGCAGCTTTTACTATATATATATATATTTAAAGCCATAAGAACCACAAGCTTAGCATTTTGGTACTGGTGATTGCTGTTGCAGGATATTTTTACGTATGGAACAATTTGACCAGTCACCGTAGGGACTTCCCGCACAACATGTATGTATGTGAAAACATTATGTTGACATATATTAGCCAAATTGCCACAAATATGAATTTTAATGAGTCAAAGTATGGCATGTTTAATATATGTATCTGTTCTCTAGCAACTGAAGTTCGTTTCAATGCGTCAAAACCGGTAATCTGACCGTGGTTGCTGTATCTCTTCAGACACGGAAATACCAGTCAGCAAATCCGAACTGAAGTACAAAATTCAATACCATTATAATACTATCTTGTTATTAAAACGTGTTCATTGTATATATGAACTTGTGTTGCGTTCTGTATCGTGGCGTATTGATAAATGGGCCCACCTCTATCGTATATTGTATCGTGGGTCAAGTATCACAATGCATCGGAATATCGGTGTATTGTTTCACCCTGAAGGCGTATAGTGTACAAGCTTTATGAGCAGAAGGTAACCCTGTCTTATAGTAGAATTTGGGAGGAATTAAAGATACAATTAATGTTTCCCGGACTGCACTAACTATTGCTCTCCAAGAAATGGGATTTTGATACACTGCATGTGCATGGCAATGACCGAGAATATTCCATCCTGTCAATGAGGTCACATGATCTCCAAACCATTCTTAACTATCACAGTCAGGGCATCCAGATACATGTGGCTATCGGCAGATGGCCAAAAAGCACCAATGGTACATAGAATCAGGTAAACGTAATCATGTCATTGTTTTGCACTCTGCAACTGTGAAAAGAAAACTGGTGATTTTCAGAAGGAAATTATAGGAGGTGATGTGTTCATAGACTGGTTGGAACTTCAACTATTGCCCATTTTAAACAACGTCAGTGTCATTGTCATGGATAACACCAGTAAATATAATGTCCGGGAATCAGATACTGTCGCCCAAACCATGAGTAGTAAAACAAAGTATGTGATCTCGACTACCACTTGTCAGACTTTTATTTTTGTGGAAGCCTCGGTGGCTCAGTGGGTTAGATGGCTGACATTGTGTGATGGCGATGAGGTGCCTAATTCTGGCAGTGTGGGTTTGAATCCCGGAAGGGACTCAATCCAAAAATAGTATGAGAATCTGTACTATACTAAGAAAGTGTTATACATATTGTTTGAAGAAGCAGAACAGCAATAACATATGTATCTCTTTCTCATATTTGTTTCTTGCCAGGATCAGTGTTTGAATAATATTTTGAATGCTTGACTGTGTGTATGTTTTGTTATATTTCTTAAAAATCACCTTGGCACCATTTCCAATACTTGTATTTAATTTTTCTCAAATGTATACATACATTGTCTTCAGAATGTGAGGGTGACCATTGCCCTGGATGGCCATCCTCCTCATGTAACAGGGAAAAGGTGAAATAAAATGTAGAAAAAAAAGAAATAAAAAGTGTTATATCCCAAGTATAACATGTGTTCTATTATGATCCTTTATGGCAATGATTGTCAACATTATGGGTTAAATGTAGCGTTTGAAAGATGATAGGAACAAATTGTATGGCATAAGAAAAATATACCTCCTCAGTAAGGCGTTTACAGAATCAGAGTCGAAACTTGGGAAAGGTAAATTAAGCTTGTTGCAGATTAAAACATATTGCTGAAATTTGATACTTGTTACATTCTTGCGAATGTTTTCATTCTCAATATTCACAGTTTTTCTTGACATTTAACTGGTAATAACTCATCCAGGTGATCTACAGTGTTGTGGCACTATCTGCCATCTATGAATCCCAGTTAGCTTGAAATTTTGAGAAAAAATTTGTTATGTATCCTCTTGTGACCTTGACCGATTTGCAGGTCACCTAAATGTGATGTGATGACCCTCTTAAGAGGTCATGTATGTACCAGATTTCTTCAAATTCAAATTAGAAATTAAATGTTCAATATAGAGTACACAAGCTACTTTACACTTTGTGACTGTGGCCTTCAATGCCATCCAATCAAATGTAATTGGAAAATGCTTTGATTTTTCAGGAATTTATCCAAAATTTCCAAACATTTAAGCTATTTTGAACTCGCATGCCTGAAAGTCAAATGATCTTATATCAATGGCTTGCTTGTCCGGCATCCGATTTTCATCAGTTCATGTTTTGCCTTAAGTGTGTCAGGATAAGCATAATGCATAAGATCACAACAGTGATTCAGGTCTAAGTTAAAATAAACCAGACAGCTATTTACAGGTGATGCCTTTGATCAGTAAATATAGATCTACATAAATGAACATGCTACATTGGGTAATTGTTGTTGAACTATTTTGCATTTTTAAGAATTTGTCATACACATTTGTATGCAAGCCCCCCAAACTTAATTGGGTTATGGTAATATATTCTGCCTATTTTATGCAAATAAGCAGCTTATCTGGAGCTCTGTGTAGCTGTCTTTGTTGACAAATTGACTGTTGACTTTATATCCAGGTGAGCTCCATGCAGTGCCATGGACCTGTGTTTATTCAATATACAACCCATAGCTATATTCGTCTGTCATTTTCAGTTGACGTGTGTGTGAGATGAAATGTACAGTTTGATTTCTTTTGTAGTTGAGGTTACGCACACGAAGGAAGACTTTGCTGGAATACCAAAGAAGACACAAGGAGCTGTATCCTTGAATACCTGAATACCTTTGTCATACGTCTTCTAGACAACAGTACCACATGATTATATAATAAGTAATGGTACACTATAAATATCTTCAGATTTTCAACAGAAGACCTCATCAATGTCAACTATCCATAATCAATTTTGATACTAGTGTTATAACTTTCTGATATTTGCACATGTCCATTTTGGCAATTCTCAATGCTGATTGGTCATTTAAAGCCCAAATGTGTCACAGTGCTTCATTGTTGACAAAATATGAATATCGATCATGATGCCATGTAGTCATTGTCACCATAGCTTGCCTCCTTTGAAATGTGTCTGGGTTGACGTTTCATTCATACTTCTTGGTTTTAAAATGTCAATGAGTAATATATAGAAAAGCTTACACAAAACTGATAATCTGTCCCTCGTGAGTGAATGCTGTTAGTCCCTTGCCACAGACTCGAAACTTACATAATTTATTCACTCATGACATGTGCTCTGTAATTCCTCGTTGCTCATTGGTTATTCTCTAAGTATCTCTCTTCCGAAACCTCTGCACATGTGAAGTATTCACTTCTTTCCTGTGTGTGCTACTTTCAACATGAAAATTATTTGGGAGTTGTTCTAGCACAAAATTTTATAATTTTTCACACTGTAATAAAGTTTGGATCTTCAGTTTATGTAGTTTACAAGAAGAATAGATTGCGCTTCTCATTTATGTGGAAGGTGAAGAGGTTTAGTTTACCTTAAGTTTAGTTCTAAGTGGTGAACGTGTAGTTGAAGGTGTGTAGGCTCTTCAAGACCCTAGATTACCCACACATCTGCTGGTGCTGGTCAAATGTTCAGGGGAGTCTAGATGCACCCAGTGTGTTTCTCTCCCATGAGATGAATGGATCGCTGAGTCCTGGAAGAAGTCAAGAAGGAGGGATGCAGAAAGAGAATGGTGGTGATTTTGACTACGTTAAATTCAGTCAGGGACAACTGCCAGGCCTCAACCGGATCCAAAGATGAAGTCTACCCACCATTGGGATTGACTATCTGTACTGTCAGATCCCCACTGCTTAGTTGGACAGGATGGTTGTGCCGACCAGTTTGATAATGGAAGACAGGGCATGTAGCCTTTCCCACCACTTTCACGGAAACTCTAAATGGGATTACCATGGATAACACGCCCATATGGAGTGAAAGCAACATATGACCTGTTTGTGCCATGGTCACCAGTGTTATGATAACTTTAGATACTGACCCACTATCTTTTCATCCAATGACCCAGTCAAGTAGAGGACAGGAGGCCCTGCATTGACAACTTATGCTCAGATCGTGGCCCTGAGCTAGCCTTTGGGTTTGGATCAATATGTGTCACCTGTGACCCAAACGATTCATGGTTCTGAGGGTTCTGTCATCACACTATAAAAACCTTCAGTGTCAGCTATCCTTAATCAGTCATGTGGATAATAGTGTTCTATTGCCCAATGCTTCTGCGCATATGCAAGGTGGGAACTTTACTTCTTTCCTGTTCAATAAAATTTCATGTCACAGCACATAATTTAGTTATATTCACCACGTAATAACTTAAGATTGAGCTTCTCACCCGCATTATAGCTGAAGAGGATTAGTTTACAATAGAATTTTAATTTCAAGGTGGTGACATGGTTTTGAACAAGATAACGTTCACCCTCCACCAATGTGTAGAGGGTGTGTATCCTTGGGTGACACTCATGTCACCTGTGGGAAGTGCTGATCTGTTCCATGTACATAGGAGTCCACAGGCACCTGGTGTGTTTTTTACAGCTCAACCCAAACAGAAACCACGCCTAAATTTCCTTGAGTAGTTTGAAGGTTGAACACAATCTTTGCAGAGATTGCTACCATACATATGCAAAAATGAGCACCGCAAGAGGTTGAGAAAGCTCCACTGGTGGCAGTGCCACTGCAAGGAGAGCAAGTATCATGGCTGGATGTTTCACCTCATTCATGATGCGGCGTATGACATGTACGGTTTCGGTCTGGCCAGACAATCACTGGCTGTTGGTCATTTAGTATCAGATTCCCACAGTTGATATGGATGAAATGGACGAGATGGGTTTTTTCTTCTTCTGTATTTTTGGCCTGACCAGGAGAGGTTACATTAGAGTTCAAAGTTCAAGACGGCCAGTTGACAGCAGATCCATGGAGGATGAAGCCAGAAAGAACGGCAACCACCCCAACAGACTGAGAAATCTTGTTGCCGGTGTTTGAAAGAAGAGAGGTTTTCTTTCATGAGTGAGAGGCATGGGAAGGGAGATACTATTAGTGTCACAACTGATTAATGATAGTTGCATGACAGTGAAGACATCTGGTGAAAATCTGAATATTTTTTATAGCTTAATGACAGCTGAATTAAAGGATTTCTTGTAAATGATGTTTATAATACTCCTCCTTAAACACATATGTTTATTTGAGAAATTATTTTGTGTATGGAAAAGCGAAATTCCATACTAGTTTAACAAAATACTTTCAGAAACTGGTAAATGAAAAGACTATTTCCTTAGCCTCTGCCAACTTTCTCTCACAAATACAGTGTTACCTCGCTATTGAGCTCTTCAATATAGTGCTTACTTGGTTACAGCGCGATCACGTAACACCGGAAATACCAGTCAACAAATCTGAACTGAAGTACGCAATTTAATCTTATTATTATAATATCTGGTTATAAACAAATTGTTAATTGCTTATCTGGACTAATGTTTGCAATATTCTTTATTAATTATATTCAAAATTTCATTCAATAATTATAATAATGTTAACAATAATTTCGGCGAAATTGTGTACGTCTCACCGTTATTTATGGCGACCACGGTCAGATTACCGCTATTGACACCTTGAAACAAACTTTAGTAGCAAGAGAATGGATACACATATCATAAATGCCTTACCATGACTAGTAGTATAAGTAATGACAGTTCTGCCGCAACCCCACTGGAGCCAGATTTATATACCTATACTGCTACTACAGAGGGAATTTTTTTAACTGAAAATGATGATGCGATTCAATGATCGTCATGAATTGTATTAAAAGAATCATCAATATCAATTAATAATGGATAAAATTTACTATAGCCCATGAGGATATTGGAAAGGTAGAGGAGCAATACAAAAATTAGCCACTGCGGCTAAGGTATCTAAAGATGTGGCCAAGGATTGGTTAAAGACACAAGCGATGTGCCAAATATACTTACCAGCACCGCGTTATATCCCGAGGAAGAAGTTTGATATTTTTACAACGAATGAAGTTCATCAGGCTGACCTCTTGTTTCTCCCCCATGATAAGGTAAGACGCAAAACGTATAAATACTCTTTAACCATAGTGGATGTGGCTAGTCCGTACAAAGAGGCTGAGCCATTAACCTCGAAAGATTCAACAGAAGTAGCTAATGCACTGAGCCGCATATATAAACGCGGACCACTAAAATGGGCCAAGCTATTTCAAGTAGATCCTGGTCGCGAGTTTATGGGATCAGTAACTAAACTGATAACAAAGCACGAGGTCGAAATCAGGCATGGTGAAAAAGAGGCCCACCGTAGTCAAGCTATCGTTGAAAGATTTAACCGGACATTAGCAGAACGTTTGTTTGGCTATCAGTATTGGATCGAAATGAAATCGGAACGATTGAGATCAACCGAATGGGTGACACGATTATCAGCTGTTGTATCAGCGCTGAATAATGAAGTAACGAGATTAATCAGGAAGAAACCATCCGATGCGATTAAAATGAAATCTGTGACTTCCGAATCTTCAGCACCGAGGAGAGGCAAAGAACAAAAACTTCCGGATAGAGTAGGCGTAAGATATTTATACCAGCCCGGTTAACTCGAAGGAGGCCAACGTTGCGCAACCGAACCGATTTGGTCCCTTAAGATATATAACATTAGTGGGTTTGTTATGAAAGAAGGAGAGCCTATTCTTTATTATCTTAAAGATGGACCGGGCAGGGCATTTGTACGAGAAGAGTTGCTCATATTTTCCCAACGATACAGTATTACCACCATAACCATAAGCATAGGTAGTTACACAATCCTTATCAATCCATCTCTTTGTATCTAAGGCGGATAATGATGTCTCGTTCATTCTCAATCCATATATCCTGTGATTGACACTTCTTAAAGTGTTCATCTCATGTTTGAATGCTCTACCATTGAATAATGCTTCTTTATACTGTTCGTGTTTGATATGCTTTTTTACCACATACTTAACACCCTTAGCTTTTCTTATCTCTCCATTATCGGACTTCTTTATAGAATACATCTTAGGTCTTAATCCGACATACTCCACACTAGGGGTCCCAGCAAATTCATCCTTCATCTTACCTAACACCTTTTTATTTACTACGCTGTGCAGTGGATTATCTTTTGGGTAATTGCTCGTGTCGTACATATCTATTTTTCTGCCATATCTTTATACACATCTTGGTTTGTATTTCCATCAACAAAGAATCTGTATCGGTATATAACACCTCGCATCTATCGCCGTAGTTCTTCTTAAGTTCATTGTAATAAAAGTCATATATTAAGTGTTTTGACAAGTCGAGAATACTCATACCAACGTACACCGGTCTGTTGAATTTTATATTACTCTTCTGCATATGCAGCGCCGCTAAGTCGTTATCAAATATCTTACTTCTGTTAAAAGCCGGACTGGCTATAAGTTTCCTGAGTCTTTCTTCCTCATTAGATCTGACTAATTTAACATCAACACACTTCCTTAGATTCTCCATAGTTTTACCAAATACTGAGTTATTCATGAGCTTATATAGGTTCTTTTCGAAATTGCTGGTACCATCTTTCTTAAATCTGTGTTCAGCCTTATATAGGGCTCCATCCAAGGACTTTGATCAAACTTTAGAACTCTGTGTATTTTCTTAAGTTTCATACCTAACGATAGACATAACTGGAGATTTCTGTAGTGAACTATATATTTTGTCTTATCCATCAAATTTGGTATGAGTTTTTCTACGTTAGCTAACCTTGTATCACCCA